GGACCAATAGCGACTTTTGTTGCTGAAGAGTTGTACGTTGCTGTGTTCGATTTCATAAGATACATTCTCTAAGGACCGACCTGGTCTTCCTGGACTGGCTTCTTCAAGGGCCGTGAAAATAAGGAGGCCGAAAGAGTTTTGGCTATAGAATCCAACAGGTCCAGCCTTCCCTGGCTGTTACAGCCCCTCACCCATAAGCTAGTTGCCTAGTTGCTTAGCAACTTTGATAGCTGATTTACAAAGCAGACAAAGAATGAATACCGAACTTCTCACTACTGTTCTGGGTGCTAATAACATTTTTGAGAATCTTCAGCAGCAGTACGTCGTCACAGATATCAGATTTATAATCTCCACACTGCAGAGATATTAGAATCTGAGCTTAAATGTCAGCCAAACCCATTCACACAGACCAGATAAAACATTTTTGTAACCAAAAATTACCCCCCACTTATCTGACTCCCACCATTACAACAACTATTTTCATTCATTTCAGAAGGATCTATTCACAGACTTATATTATATTAAACTGCACTTCCAATATTCACCACTATTCAGCGCCATTTCCTTTTTCCTCTGAGCACTGAGCAGCCATCCATTGATTCATTTTCTGACAACCTTATCCCTGCTGGGGCCCAAGGGGTGCTGGTGCCTATCTCTAGCTGTCAAAGGCCAAGAGGCAGTGTACAACCTGGACAGGTCGCCAGTAGCAGTTTGATTCCCAGCCCGGCGTCTTTCTGCATGGAGTTTGCATGTTCACCCTGAGCATGCGTGGGTGTGTTCGGGTACTCAGGCTTCCTCCCACAGTCCAAAAACATGACTATAGGTAAATTGGCTTCTTTAAATTCTCGTTAGGTGTGAGGGTGTGTGTGAATGGTTGTTTGTCATGTTTGTCCTGTGTTGCCCTGCGATGGACTGGCGACCTGTCCATGGTGTACTACTCCACCTCTCGCCCGTAGACAGCTGGAGATAGGCACCGGCACCCCTCGTGCCCCCAGCAGGGATAAGCGTGACAGAATATGGATGAATGAAAAGAGAAATCAGAAAAAAATAAAATGGTAAAACCATAATCTGAAGAAATGTTTTTAAAAACATTTTATAAAAAAAAGCAAAGTTACTCTGAAAACAGTTTTTATAATCAAAAAGTTCTGTAAAGTTTCATCTGTTAGTTGTATTTTGTTTCTGTTTGTTTGCAACAATAACAGAACAAAATTCACTCCATAGAAAATGACACCAGACAATGACCCCACCTTTTTTTTTCTGAAGAATGAATTTATTCTTTTAAAACTTTACATAAATAAACTTATTTTAACTTTAAAGAGACAAAGTTACAGCATACATCTAAAACATCTCAAACTCTCCATGTGAGCTCTCATAATGAGGTTGCTGTGTTTTATTTTGTTTCTTATTTATCTCATTTGCTTTAGTTTTTTTCTTTAAAATCCAGAACCAGGTTTTTGGCTCCTCACAGCCGTTTCCAATGTGTAATCAGCACACCTGTCCTCATTAACCCTCTATTTATACTTTCTGATTTTTTTCCCCAGCCATTTGTCTCATTTCCTGCCTGTTCATGTTGAGCTACTGTCCTTTTCTTTGGTTTGACTTTCTGAACTTAAACCCGACTGTCTGCTTTTACGTGCAGCAGCAGTGACCTGCAGGAGGAGGAAGAGGAGGCAAGCTGCTCTGACCACAGCCGCAACAGAGAGGTAAATACAGATCAGGGCTGCTATCTATCACCTTCATCCACCAGATGTCGCCAAAGAGCAGGAACAATCTCTAATGATGAAAACTGCAAAGACAACCTGGAGCTTATCACTTTGAGGCATTTTGGAAAAGGGTCTCTAAAACCAAACGAACATTTATCATTAAAGCCATTTATATTATTAGAAGGAAAAACGAAAATCAAAGGGTAGATCCACACAAAAGGTTTGTTGGATGCTCCTTGGCTGAAGAACTGTGTCTATGGGAGAGAAGATGATGTAGCCCAGCAGGCTTTTGCTTCACCTCTATGTGGAATTTCTCATGTCTGACTCAATGTTTGTGCATCGCTGGATGTTTGTTAGCCAAGATTTACTGTCAGATGTTTGCCATAAATTTCAGAATAATTCAAACGGGGGACAGGCCTTGGCTGAAGTGTTTATCCATTGAGGTTTTGCACATTATTTCAGGTTACAGCAACTGACCTAAATGTGTTTTATCAACGTCGGCCCACAACGGAAAATCCTGCAGGATTTTCAGAATTTGTTTACAGCGGTCGTGCAGACTCCATGTAGATGCATGATTTCAGTTAACTGAAAAGGTCCTGCAAACATAATGAGACAAAAATAGAATGCATGCAAAGGAAAAATGTTGCAATTAGCAAAAATAATTGCAGGTTAAGGGTGCATACTAACACAACACAATGGAAGAGCTCCAGACCACCAGAGGGAGACGGTAGTTGACTCATATAGGACTAGCACGTAAACATTGCTAATAAAAAGACCTTTAGCAAAAAAAACGGGATGCCAAACAGAAGACATTGTCTCCCCTAGTGGTCTGGAGAACTTATGCAGTGCTAGTTTGCAGCGTTTCTTAACATGCAGTTTTTGCTACTAGCATCAGTTTTCCTCTGTCTGTGTTTAGCATGTTTCTATGTTGCTGTTGTCTATTTTCTGGTATGGTTGCTTTTATTCTTTGCACAACATTTTTTATTTGCATTTTTTTTTTTCTTTTGTACTAGTCTCCCTTGAGTTCACAGAAACTTATCAAATATACTGTGAAGGTATCTTTGTATCTCAAAATGAAAATTGTGTCAGATTCTCATAGGATGTGTGCTGTTAATATCTGCAGCTCCTACAGAGAAACATCTGCCTCTTAGCTCATATTTGTGTCATTATAAACAGACAGCAACCGCACATTTACTGGCAGAGGTAAAAAGTAGTGAAATGTTGAAGGATAGTGGTATAACCAAAATCTCTTTACTCCTCCCAGCCAATAAGTGGTGCATTTGCGTTTGCTCGTTCTCATTCCGAACAGTTTGCCAGCCTGTTTCCAGGTCTGCTAATGCTAACCAAACATTTAACCTACTAGTTTAAGTAAAGCGGCGACCTCTGTGTACCTTCTGAGCCCATTTGCTTCTTTAAATTGGAATAATTGCTCTAAACCTTGATCGATCTTGAAAGGTTCAGTTTAGGCAAGTGGATGTGAAGTTTTTTCTATCTGATTCGAGCTCCAATTCACATCATGTCATCACAGGTCAATTTACCTCACAATTTACCATTAGGCAATACTAGGCAGTTGCCTTGGGCCCCAAGTTCCTGGGGGCCCCATAAAACTCTGTTTACATGTATGTTTTATACAACTATTCCTCATTTGTGCACATTAATTATGTTTTGGATAAGAATCCTTTCGCTAAAACGCCATCAGAACGCCTATGATCAATGTGGGTTTTGTAATAAGGATAACGTGGATCATACAAAATCCGTTCTCCACTTCCAAACTCAGCATCTCTTCATCCATGCCTGCCATAAGAAGTTGCTTTTGAAGTTGTAAAATGCGCTCTTGGAAGTTGTTGTGACTGGATTTGATTAAACTTTTAAGCCTTACAGCATGAAATAAATATTACAATCAAGATGAGAAATCTGCTTCCTGGTATGTTGAAGTACCAATAGTTTGCAAACTGCCTTCTTTTTTGAGACAGTATAAAATGTACAGTATGCTCCAATTAATAGTTACTGATTTGTGGTTATCCTATTATAATTTGACATAACGGATCTTCTCAATGTTCTTTTCCTGTTTAATACGGCTGGAATTGCGGATCTGGAGAAGGCTGGAACTGTTTGAATAACTGATCTCTATTTTAATAAATAGAGCTCAGTGGTTTGAATCTATAGTCGAACTCTTCTGGCCTCCTTATTTTCACGACCTTCGAAGGACCCAGTCCAGCCTACTGGACTGAACACACCCCACACATGCACAGTATAACATTTGTTAATGGTTCTGTTGGTGGACAACTTCTGGTGCATTACTGCCCCCAACTGGTAAGGAGTGTAAAGGTTTCATCAGGACTGGTAAATTTGTACTTGAATTTTCACGAGGTTGCGTATAAATAAAAGTTGTGTAACTGGTATTCATAGTTTCTTAACTGGACTTTTCACGGATGATCTGATGTCACATCTTTGAGTTGACCAAAATGAACAATTGATCTTAAATTTATTGACATTAAAGAAATTTATGTACAAATTCAGACTTCTTTGCATACATTTTTAGACAATCTTACCTAATATTAATTTCTGCAAGGCTCTGCATTATTTAAACAGCAAGCCTAAAGTCAAGGCAGGCTGCAAAGTTTTCCCATGTTCTCCTCAAACAGCCCTGACATCGGCTGGAGCCCAAAATGATCACAGGGGTCTGAATTCCTGAGAGTTTTTCTAAGAATTTAGTAATGTCAGAAACAATCCCTTATCTTCATGTTAAAATCCTGGCAGGTCCAGGCCTGCTCCTACTGGAATGCCTCGGAGGGGATCGCCTCTGCTCGTCTTCGAGCACGTTTCCTCAAACTATTGCTTCTAAACCTAACGGTCTGGTTCCAGCTGTCAGAATCAGATGTTTCATGTCTTCCTGTTCTTTCTGTTCCTGCTCGCTGCCGTAGTTTCAGATGAACCACAAACACCACCAGCTTCAATTAAAGCAACATAATCTCCTACATGTGCTCCTTCTTTTTAATCACAGTAACTTTATATGATCCTGAAGCTTCTGGAGGATGTAACCCCCCCCCCCCCCCCCCCCNCACACACACACACACACACACACACACACACACACTTTATCCCATCTAGTCCTCCTGTGGTTGAGTGGGAAATTTGGAGAATTCATTTCAGCAACCACGCCACTCTAGGTCACATGTTCTGTATTTTTTCCCCCTTCTTTCCTCTTCCTAAATAAGGAATTTCAATTTTAGTGAGGAAACAAAGCTGGAGCTGTAGGGGCGGGTCATAGAGTGAAATAAGAGGGTCTGAAGGCGTAACTGCTCTCTCTCTGTCTCTCTCTCTGTAGTCTGAGTTTAGCCAGAAGGTGTTTGCTGTATTAGTGCTGGTTACACACTCTGCACTGAGCCACCGAGGGAACAGGAAGAGCAACTCAAGGCCAAGCTCACTTCTACTCACCTGAAAGCAGCTGCAAGGTGAGTAAAAACTCTCACGGGCTTTGTCAGTTTCTGAATAATTTCTGGTTGTAGAGATTTCTTCCTTTTTTATTGAAGCTGTGGAATATTCCATGCAGGAAGAATGAAAGAGTTCAATAATTCAAGCGCCGCACCCTCTTCCTCTCTCTCTCTTGTTCTCATTCCTTCCTTTCTGTTAAATCATACACAGGTTTGGAGTTAATATTTAGTTGATTCTCTAGATTTAGACTTTCCTGTGTTCTGCCTCTCCACAAACCAGCATGAACTCGCCCATAGTTAATTTGCTCTGCAAACAGATTCAGGAAGTGAATTCAGAACATTATCTGTCCAAACATGGCTCATGTCAGGCATGAGGTGAATTTCTTCATGGGTGAAGAGTTTTGAAAGTGAGACCAGTTGAGCGTGGTGCAAAACAAACATGAAAGCTGATATCAAATCAGTAGATTTTCTCAAACTGTGGTGCAACAGCAAGTAAGTTGTGAAAGCCTGCTAACGGATTACTGCAAGTCATAATGATGTGAAGGTGTAGGAGTGCTGGTGGGGAAATGACACGACTATGAGGAGCACAGATGGTGCTGCAGAGTCGACAAGTGAATTCTCTGGGTTTCAGGTAGAAAGGCGTAGCAAGGCGGGGGTTTAATGTAGAAGATGGAAATATTAGAAAGATCAAGAAGACTGAGTTCATTCCTTAATAAGAAAGAATTTGATGAATGTTTAAAAGGGTGGTGGGAGTAGGCTATGGAGAGAAACTTGTTCCAATATTATTGAAAGCAAAGGGCCCATAATAAAAAAGCAGGAAAATTTGCATTAAATGTGTTTAAGAAATAACACTTAAAAAAACTTCAAAAAAGGTTTTAAGTAATTGTTTGCGGTGTATGCAAAGTGCCACCAATATTTTTACTCATTTTTTTTTCAGATTGAATTATGTCAAATCTTTTCCAAATGTGATACAAATATTTTAGACTTTATATTTTCAACTATTCTTCTCAGATTTTTTTTTCAAACCTTTTGATTTATGTACCACAAATTCCAGACAATCTTTCTTTTTTTTTAAGATTTTCTTTTTAAGTTGCTTGCAATACTGAATTATAAGGATTATAATCATAAATTTTTTTTTTTATCGCTTGTTACAAATTTCCCATTTACACTTCTGTCTGTGGACCAATAGAAATGCTAATAATAATGTCCAAACAGAGCAGCCTAATTTCTATTGGTCCGTGCAAAGGTCACCCAGAAGTGTCGAAGGTCAAATCTGTACACGGATTTGAAAAGAATACAATTTGGGAAACTTGGTCTCCCAAATAAAGTTGTAAAATATAATCTAAAAAAAAAATATATTTACTTACTCTAAAACTTTTTCAAAGTTGCTTTTTTTATTGCATTTTATTCAACATTTCCTTTTCTTTTTTTTAAGCACGTTTTTTAGTTTTTCATAATACTGGAACACATTTCTCTCCCTAGTAAACCAGCACACACAGAGTAAAACTAAAAACTCTGCAAGTTCTACAGTTGGTAAATCATAGCCTAACTGAAGAATCACTATCAATAGAAAGGTGTGAAGAGCAAGAAATGTTACCACTATTTTTATTGCATCATTCCTATTAAGAAAAAATGTTTTAGTTTTATAATTTTCCTATAAACTTCAAACATGTTTAAAAAACTTTTTTTTATCCCGCTGCACACTCATTCATGTGGATATAGCATTAGCAGGAATGTTGTTAAAACGAAATGGAGGACAAAAGAAAACAAACCACTTTCACACTGGATTTTCTGGCAGGTTTTAACATGAAGCATTGCCTGTTAGCAGGACGGCTACATGGAGAGATAGCCTGACTAACCAGCTTTCTCTCAACTTGTTGGAATGTTTACTCACAATAAAAGTAGAATAAGTTAAACAGAAATTCCGGGGTTTATAATCTATATTTCCTCTTGCATCTAATTATTAAATCAGAAAACCATTACAGGTATAAATGTTGTCTTGGCAAAATTGACACGATTGCTTGTTGTTAAAAAGGTAAATCTTTCTGGGGACTTTTCTTTAACCTCTTGGTTAAAGGCATGAAACCTTGTCACAATCTTCTGAGCATCTCACAGCGCAGCACACCCGGTTTGACCCCTGACTGAAAGCGAAACCATATTGAGCTCAGACAAGAAACCTCTAAACACACTGTGTCCCCAGTAGTAGAGGGGACTTGATGGTGCGAAATGCTTGGATGCTCCAGACACCCTTTCTGAAGCCCCAGTCCATCACCTGAATACAAACGCCTCTGAAACATTTAGATAGCAGACCATTATGTTTCAGGTCAGAGGATAAGCAATATGTGGCTGCAGAGAACCGCACAGGAGATCTACTGCTCTAAAATTGTGTGGTTATCGCAGCGAGTTTGACTTCGTCATGCCTGGTTTCAGACTGAGACGTCCTGATGTTTGCAGCTGCAAGCTGTTAACCCGAGCAAGCCAGGACACCGCTGATGAAACTCCTCAGATTGAGAAACATCACTGTAGATGTTTGTTTTCAAGACTGTGGCAACAAGATGATGATTTACAGGACAGAAAGAGGAACCCCAGCATCCACCACCCCCCCATCTGTAACCACTGAAAGCAGAATCTTAAGAGCGACAATATCCAAGAGATCCTTCGTCATGTTATCATCGCTTATTGTGTAATTCTGTGTTGCAATGGACCAAATAGGTGTGTCTCTGCCCGGGAGGAGCTAATGCTTCATGGATCAAATTAAATTCTCCTTTTACGCTGGTAATTAAAGAAAACAGCGCTTCTGTGCATTCATGCTGGACCGCATGAAGTCTGGAGGGAGTTTAGTTAGACCACCATACATTTGTTATCTGGAACTCTGGGAATCCAGAATCTGCAGGGCTTTGCATCTCTGAGCAGACAGGCCGATTATTGTTAGAATTTAGCTTCTGACTGCAGTGTTTGTCATTTTAAAGCTTGTTCCCATGGTGACAAATGTTGTTGTTTTGTTTAGATCTCTGTGCTCATAGCTACCTTTGTCAGGAAGAGGGGGAGAGGAAGTGTGAGTAGAGTGAGCAAACAGGATGCAGGGAGCTGGGTGGTTCTACAGGAAGTGCATACAGCATTAATAACTCGGATAGGCCGACCACAATTACTTACAGAGAGCGGGCGGGGGTGTAATTCCCCGAGACATCCATCACTTTAATTTTCATGTCTTTTTTGGATAATTACTACCATGGCCTAGAAAATGGAAAAGCCACCACTCATTGTTGTACACATGATTATTTACAGCCCAAAGTTAAATGAGACACTAGGAAAGGGACAAAGGCTGTGGAGTTTTCTCTCTCAGAGCAGCAACTGGTTTTACCTTTTATAGTTTATGCACACAGGAAAAAATAATTATTTCAATAAAGAGCAATAAAACAGTTAAAGTGGCTTTTCATTAGTATTTACACGTTCAACCCTTCAACTGTATTTTCTTTCCACTAATCAATTATCTGCAACTATTTTATCACAAAACTTTGATCAAATGCGTCTCACTTCTGGGGGCGGGGCTTTCCTCTTGAGACTCATTTCTATTGGTCAGCTGGACGTTAGCAACAGTATTTTATGTAATTTTTTTTTTTTTTTTGTCGGACAGAGTGTGATCAATAGTGTAATCTGAAAATAATTTAATTTGAAAAACTCAATCTGAAAAGGGAAACTTAAAAAATAAAAATACAAAATCTGTTAAGAAAATTTGAATATTTGGAGGAAAAAATAAAAGTAATTATGAAAAGTAAAGCCCAAGAGAAGAGCTAAGTTTCTAACCTTTATTTGGGGAACAAAATTAACTCCATAAGTCAGCTTTGAATCACTGTTTGTACTAGCTTTGCACCGGTGGCCGCTGCTGCTCTCTGAAACAGGCGAGGCTCAATGGTGCTAATTAAATCCAAATGTCACATATTGCATTAAGAAATATTGAAAATCATAAAACGCATCAGTACAGCCAGTGAAAATGGCAGCTGTGAAGCTGCTCTGAAATAAACTCCAGAAACCATGGCAACAGTTCAGCACAAGATGACCGTTCTGACTGATCACTTTTCCTCTGGAGAAATGTGAAAATCCTCCTCGCTGTCTGGCTGCTGTCAGTAATCCTTCAGTCTGTTGGCCAATCAGCATCCAGAAGTCAGCTTAGAGACCCGCTCTGCTCCACAGACCCCCCTAAGATGTTTAGCTTCTCTAGAAGTGACGTATTTTGGGGTTTTCATCCAATCAGGGCTCTACTCTCTCTGCTCACCTCAGCAGACTGAGGCGTGTATATAAATGCTAAATATCAGCAAAACCACAAAGAAAGCAGTGAGGTATAGAACTAGAAAGTTGTGAATTAATCATTGCAGCTCAGTCCTTACTGTAATTTATACCACTGAGACGTAGTAGACCCAGAAGAACAAAGTCATTCTTCAGTCAGGATTTCCTTTCTGCTGGATAATCTCCCCAACATTTTCTCACATGATGCTTCATCCCCCACTGTTCACGCACATACTGATGGTGGTAAGCTAAACCCATCCCCTTAGTAGTTATGGGCTGCCATTGTGCGGCATCCAGGGAGCAGTGTGGGGTTAAGGGTCATTCCTCAAGGACCCAGAGTTGCAGTCTGTGGGAGTGGGGATTAAACTCTGAATCTCTAAAAAAGGGAAACTTATAAAACAGAATCCACTAGGCTAGCTAAACTTGGATCTCTTTATTTGCATTGTTTTTGACCCATGGGGATACATATTACTATTTTACACCTTATAAACTGGAAACTTAAAAAAAAAAAAAAAAAAAAAAACTCACTCTTAGTCTATAGTTTGATCAATAAACTGCAGAAGAATTTATTCGATAACTGGGATCTAATGTTCAAACACACCAAATTGTGGAAAACATGACTAAATGCTTTTGTGCAGTAAAAAAATCATGTGATCTTTCCAAAACAATGTATTCATCTAAAAATGTGTGCTGGGCAAGAATGTGGCTATAAGTGCAGCTGCAGTGTGGAAACCCTGCGCAGGCAGGATGGGAGGTTTGGGGAAACCAGCTTAGTTACCGCTAACATTTATCATCCCCCAATAGGAACAACATGGCGAACAGGGGTCCAGCTTACGGCCTGAGCCGCGAGGTTCAGAGTAAGATTGATAAGAAGTACGACCCAGAACTGGAGGAGAGGCTGGTGAAGTGGATCGTCGCTCAGTGTGGCCCTGAAGTGGGGCAGCCTGAGCCAGACAAGACCGGCTTCCAACAGTGGCTCAAGGATGGATGTGTGAGTGTTTGGTCTGCAGACCTATTGGTTATGTAAACAGGACTCCGCAAATAAATGAAAGATTTGCTTCCCTCTGTGTTCAGGTGCTGTGTGAGCTCATCAACAGCCTGCATGGAGCCAACAAGCCAATCAAGAACATAAAAACCTCCACCATGGCTTTCAAACAGATGGAGCAAATCTCCATGTTCCTCAAAGCTGCAGAAAGCTACGGAGTCATCAAAACTGACATGTTCCAGACTGTAGACCTTTATGAAAGTAAGGAAATCTCCAGCTTTATACGTTCTGTGGGAAATATTCCAGAATAAATGAGGAACTTGATGTTCTTCCTCGTCTTAGGCTGTTTGTTCAAGTAAGGCTGTCTCATGTTTGCAGGCAAGGACCTGGCTGCTGTCCAGAGGACCCTGCTGGCTCTGGGTAGTTTGGCTGTCACAAAGAATGATGGGAACTACAAAGGAGATCCCAACTGGTTCCCCAAGTGTGTAACGCTTCTTTAGTCTCTTTTTCTTTGTGACCAAATCCTAAAGATAATACATTTCTGAGGCAGCAGAAGCTGACAGGTGTTTTTATACAACTGCAGGAAATCACAGGAGAACAGGAGAGATTTTTCAGAGGATCAGCTGAATGAAGGCAGGAACGTCATCGGCCTGCAGATGGGCACGAATCGTGGAGCTTCTCAAGCCGGTATGACGGGTTACGGCCGGCCGAGGCAGATCATCAACAACCCCTGAAGAGGGAAGGAACCATCCCATCAGCAGGAACGCAGAAGCTGGGACTCTGACTTTGGCCATGACGAGAAAAGTGAGCTTAAGACGAAACTGGACCAGATTAGGGACCAAAGAATGCCTTCTCATTTGAAACGCGTATCACATAGAGACCTGATGATTCCTAAAGCCTGGTACATTGTTGATTTAAAGCTGCATCCTGTGAACGACTATTTTTAAAAGCATTGTTGGGTTTCTGTGCAGAGGTTATGAGCAGATGCCATCTCACCTCTTAATGACTATTCGTAAGTCTTCAATTTGATAAGCTGAATAGATTTCCCTGTAAATTAGAAGATCACTTGGTCCATCTGAAAACAGTCAATAATTAACAAACCACTGTCCATCACAGAACCCTCCTGCCATTAAAGAAACCGCAAACAATGTAAAACCATTTTCCTTTCAAAACTCGACCCACTCTGCTGTAATTTCTAAAAGTGAGGCTGCAAAAAGGAACATGGTTTTTAGAGAAAAGACACAAAGGCTTCTGTTTATATAAAAAAAAAAAAAATAAAATAAAAAAATTCCAACTTAAACATGAAGGCAGCATAAAGGTTTATTGAATGGTTTCTGCATAGACTGTTGAGCCTGGAGATGATTGAAAATGGCCTGAATTTTGGTTCACTAGGGATAATAAAAGAAAAATACCTCCTGCAGGTAAGATAATGACTTCTCATAACCTCTGCACAGAAAAAAAATGTACGTTTGAACATGAACTAATTTGTCCTCTTTAAATGTCATTATTGTAACTATTACTGAAATAAAACTTCACCGGGTGGTGCATTCAAGGACACGCCGATGTCTGAGTGATAAGTTTGTAACAATTTAAACCACAGTTTGAGTTATTTATCAAATTCCACGTCTCTGTTTGCATATTTCCAGCTGCTAGTGTTGTCTTTCCAGCAGGATTATCGTTTCCTTTGTTTTTTTTTTCTTCCTGTCATTCTGACCTTTACAGCATGATCTAGAAGAGCTGTGAGAGAACTTCCAGAAGAAACTGAAGGTCAGCATATCCATTAATCAGCATGGAAGAGCAAAGTGAGCATAATTTAGCCAGGATCGCTTCTGGGGGGTCTGGGCACCACCCTAAGGTTTTAACATCCCTCCCAACTGCTGGGAAATGGATTCAAGATTAGTTTTCTTAACAGATCTAACAGATCTGTTTTGACCAATTCAAACACCAGGATGTGCTCTTTAGCTCATTACTGACTTGACAACTGCACAAGAGAAATAAGGCTTTAATGAATTTGCAGCAGTTAAAAGTTAAAATCAAAAGTAATAAAACTGTAGAAAACAGATTTTATCAGAAAACGAATAACAGGACATCTTTTACACTGTAACAATTTAAAAAAAATAATAATAAAATTTTAAACCAAACTGATGGTACAGATTTGTAAAAATCTCTCATGGTCGAGCTCTTTTTTTCCCTGACTGGCTTCATCTTTTGCGGTGCCGGTTTTAACTCCTTCAAGAGTATAAGAAATGTCCATCAGGGACTAGGTCTACTAGAAACAAGGGTTTGCCAAAGGTTCCTAAGTCCTTGCTGAGGGGGCTTTTTAAAGTTGTAGGGAAATCGTATTTAAATGTCAAATCATTCTTGCTTAAATATTATATAAATATTATATAAATGTATTGTCCCAAAGTTTCTATTTTTAAAATGCTATCTTAAAATGTTTTTTTTTTATCTTATGCAGGCCAGTTAGTTATACATCAGCTTGTACACCTAAATTCGGCCAATTGTATATCAACGTCATCTGTCAATCATATTTTTTGGTCATAGCATCTTGATTTATATGTCGCAGCTAATATACGTAACGGTTGAAATAAGAATTTACTTTCCCATTGAGTTCCGTCCCAGTGTTTACAGGGATAGACGTCTGTGCCTTTGGCAGGCGTAGAGCTAACAGAACTGGCAGCGAGGCAAGGGCTCAAACATGTACGGCTGTAAGCCTTCTACACCAAACCAAGCTTCTGGTGTCCTCTTCCACAACAAGTTTGTCCCAGCTTTCCTCTAAATAAAAAAATGTATGAAGGAGACTCATCCAGGACCTCCCACACAAAACTCTCCTCCTCTTGCATGTTTCTGCTGTCCATAGCGTTCCTTGACAGTGTCGTTGCTAAGTGCTACTTGGTCCCAATGTAATTTCCCATTGGGAACCTATTAGCACTAAGTTGTTAACTGGTTTGCAAGATGCTTCCGAGACACCGACCACAACCAAACTGGCTTGCGAACCTTTCGTCACAACAATCCCGCCCTTTTGATAATGAACCGATCAAATTCACTTTATTCACTCGTGTAAAGTCGTGCACCACTCGGGAAAATTCAGAAATGCAACGGTTGGACCAGTTGTTTCCCTACGACTTTACATTTTTTTGTTTTAAAAGACATTTGGGGAATTCAAAAGCTATCTTGCCTACTTATGTAATACAACCGATTTGATGCATATTTGCTAGAACAGGCATCAAGGGGTTGGGTAGATTGGTGCCTCTATTTTGCCCTGTGGTTGTCCCAATCCCAAACTGTCCCTTCACTATTGAGTGTCACTCCTGGTGAAGTTACACAAGCAGCTGAGGATGGCGCCTTATTTGAAGGGGGGTGGGGGGAGTGGGTTGTCCTCTTCCATTCACTTGAAAAGGAAAGCTGTCATTGCTATGGCAACACATTGACTAAGCCCTACGCCACTGGTTGAATTGTCGTAAAGTGCCTTGTGATGACGTGTGTTGTGAACTGCTGTTACAGCAATAAACTGTATTGAATTGCACTGATGCAGCCTTTAATAAGACTAATCCTCTGCCCAAATGCACAAATGGGGGGTGCTTAGGGATTATGTTTAGGTATCAGTTTGGGCCTCTGTGTCCCTGTTTCCTGTAACAAAGTGTTACCTGGTACCCTGAGGTGTAGACAAATGGGTACATGAGCTTTCACACACTTGATAGCTTGAAATTGGACGGAGATCCATCAGGTTTTAACTAAAAATCACATGATTTAAATTCCTTCCTGACATCAAAACCAGTTAATATCACAAAGATCTAAAAAAATACAGTTGTATTTCAATTTTATATGCCCCTGCTTTCAGACCGTGTGACTGAACAACAGATTAAACATCTCCTTGATGACCGCAACTTTTAAGTCTGATCTCTGGATCTCCACCGTAGATCTGCAGACTTGATGAAGTCTGACAAAAAAGAAAACTGCTCGCTGCAAGGTGGAAGGGGAGTCTAGCAGGAGGGTGTTATCATGGACTGCTTTATACGATGAAACAGGACAAAAACCGTGGGTGGGGGGATTTGGAGGCGGAACATTGCTTCCCCTGCCAAGGTTGTGTTTACGAGGTTTTCACTTTTCTGTTCAGCCTTAACTAGATCTGAGAATGCACAAAGATAACGACGAGACGTTGCAAGGAAAGCAGAGTTTGATAAGAAAAGAGTTTTTACAGAAACAAAACAAGATGTTATTACAGGAATAGAAACATCTAGATGGAGTTGGGAAAAATCATAGTGGTTAAGGTCAGAGAATGGAGAGGTTTAGGCATAGAAGGGTTTAAGAAACCGAGAGGGGATTTTATAAATGGGACCAATCGATGCATTCAGAGGATTAAAAATAAACGTCCCTCCCCTGGTTTTCTGACCCCCCAGTCAGTTAACAGGATACTATGAGCACCTAAACAAAGGAGCAAATAAACGACCCATTTCCAAAGGTGATGCTTTTTTTCTTCCCCCTCTGCTGATTCTGCAGCTGCCACAGCCTCAAAAGTTATCTGATCGAAAACAGCTGAAAGTTTTCAAAAAATACAGAAGACAAGAAGCTTCATCTGACTTCATAATTGTCATCAATACATAAAGACTTACATCTACTTTTCCCAGCAAAAATAATAAAAAAATTTTTTTCCACATTTAGCACAAATTATCTGAATGTGGAAGTGGGAAAAAGAAAGCCACTGCTGACAGAAGTATGTAGATGGTCATAATGTGTCGATTAATTTCTATGCATCAAAATAAAAAATAAAAAAAACATATAAAAAGATCAAAGTTTCAGGTAGCAACCTAATGAAATTTGTATAAATGTACCTACTATTTGTAGGATTGTCTGTTTATTCTGCTGTAGATGTAAGCTCCCATAAAACTGGTTTATAGTCTGCCCAGTGATGGACCAGTGACATGCCCAGTAAAAACCCGGACTTTGATAATGATAATGGTGATGAATGTATGAAGACTGTAGACTAACTCTAAAAAGCCTAAATAACAGCTGGAAGAAAACCATTTCATTTCCAACAGGAGACGCAGCGGATATGAAGCAATAGCAAGACAAAGCCCCCCCTTAAGAAAACAGGAAGTTTGAGCCACTTCTTCCTGCCATTGTCACAAGGCCAATCAGACCACTGGGAAATAAAACTTCTGTTTCACTACGACATGGCGGTTTCTATAATAAAGGGGATCTTGTGTTGGTGTAGCACTCATCCTGTCTGATTTAGGGCGAGTAAAATAATTTTTGGGCTAAAACTTAAAAAAAAATATTTGGTGGTAACTTTAACTTTAGTTAAAATCATACTCTTTAAATGTATTTTTAATTAAGTGTTGATTAATCATCAGTGGATTTTATAATATAATGCCTTTATTACTGTAACATTTGAATCAATTTAAATTATATTTACCAAGATTTACTGTAAAAATAGAAAAGTGTAAGCTAATGGTAATTTCTTTTTTCTTTTTTTTTTTTGCAAAGCTTAAAGGGGAAGAAAACAAGATGGCGGAGCAGATTAGTTTGTTGGATTCGTGGAAACAAGTCGGTTGCTTTAAGTTAGGAACCCTGAAGCTACAAAATTAGCAGGAACCAGAACCTTTACTTTGGAAAATGTAAAAACTTCTTATTCTAAAGCCATTTTCTCCAAGAGTTGGAATTTAAATGAAATGTTGAGTTTTTAACATGTTTTCTTCCAAATTAAATGATCTTAATTCCATGAATAGTTTGCATAGGTTGAGAGTGTTGCCTAGTGGTTAGAGCAGTGCTCCTGTGCTCCGAGAAGGTTGCAAATACCCGGTTTGATCCCCACAGTCTTCACTCTGGATCCCTGAACAAGACCCTTTACTCCATACTGCTCCCCAGGGGCCACACAATGGCAGCCCACTGCTCCCCAATGGGGATGGGTTAAATGCAGAGTTCATCTCTCCAGTGTGAGATCAAGAAAGTTCATAAGCGAATTAAGATAATATGAAACAGCAATAAGCCAAATCAACCCCCCCCCCCCCCCCCCCTTAAGCATGACATTGGGACAACTGACCTTTTAGTGTCTAAAATCCAATGTAGTTGTTTGCTACAGGTGAACTATTTTGATTAAGTGATCAATTTCTTTGGAATATAATAAGATACAGAATAATAAGTTGATTATTTTCCTAACTTTGGCCTGATATAAAATGTTGAATATTTTTAGACTAACATTCCTTTCAGGAATTTGGACAGTTGTAAAGATGTGACAACCATCACAGTATCCCCTGCAA